TTAAAGATGTCAAAGATGTTAAAGATGTCAAAGATGTCAAAGATGTTAAAGATGTCAAAGATGTCAAAGATGTCAAAACTGTCGACATGACGGAAGCTGTTTCTCACGCTGACGCAGACGTACTGATCGAAGAAGTGGGGGGTGGAGACGAGGATTTGCCCGAGGATGAGGTTAAAAAGACAGAGTTGTAGTGCCAATACGAGAGGTAGAGCGAGGAAGGAGGGCCCTTTGTGATTAATTTGAAACGACTTGAGAATGACATAATGTAAATAGCCATGACATAGCCTTGATGCCACAATACCAATGAGAATTCATACCGCTGCAAAAATCCTTTGACATACCAAGGCTGGCGTCTGTAGCACGAAAAAAGGCAGAAGAACTACAGGGAGGAGTGATGGCACGTGAGGAGCAGAGCTGCGTGTTATATTTATAGTCGAATATAGATATCCATACATTCAATCTGCCACTCGCGTTGTCCGAGGAGGTTTCTAAGCCACCCTAACCCCAAACCCGTCCACTCCGGCTTAGATACCGCAACATTTGCGAGCGTAGCTGCCGTGGAATTGAGAATCTGGAATACGGCCCCATTGTACAAGTCTGCGTCGCCGTTTTGTGAGGTAGAGCAGTTCAGTTTAGTACACGAGGAGGCTTCCTCCAGCGGATTACTTGACCGCGGCAGGAACCAGTTGCTATTGTAGTCGAAGAAACATCTGTCGGACCAGTTGCAACTCGTGAGAAATAGGATAATGAGCAATATGCTGCAGTATACACACGGACGGTGTAGAAAATATGTGCAGACGAAGAAGAGAAAGATGAAGGCCGGCGATGCGTTGGTCGGTATAAAGAGGAGGGGAAGCCAACTGTCATGACTCAGTTAGAGAAAACTCATAAGGTAACGGCAACATTGGAGACTATCGCATACCTGCGCAAACAGAACATTGGAGCGTGGCGGATTGTTCACGAGTCGGGGGTTGGAGTGCTCGATCAAAGCGGTAGCGTTTCGGCTCTCAAGTCGGGCGTTCAAGGCAGCCAATTATAGACCGGTTTCGTGAGATTGCGTTCGGATCTTTAAGCGACTGTAGAAACGGCTTGTTGCCTTGTTGTAATGCTTTGGAGGCAGTCGGAATTATGGTTGTCGCGTTCTGGGCTTGGGGTTTCGCCGCGGGTCGCGTTTTGCGCTGGTTGCTCGGCTGAATTTATATTAGGAATATATGAGCTATACGTATGATGGAGCCTCGGGGCTGATGTAATAGGAGTTTGCAAGAGGTGTCGGAGGATGTAAGTATTGAATTCTTTGGGACGGCCGTGGTTGATGTTGGCGCCAGAAACAATTAGGTGGGGCTTCTGGCGACACAAATCGATTTATTGTACAAATTAATTTGTACTAAAAGGTACCTACTAATAGCAGTGACAGGGGCTGCCAGCCACCGATTTCAGCGTATTTCCATTGAAAACAGCGCTGCAACTACAGCGGGTTGGTCTCTGTAATACCGACCGGAGTCACAGATTAACAGCTCGCCGCCCTCGTCATGGAGTTATTAGGTACCTACCTAGGTAGGTCGCTATTCGTCCGGGAGAACATGCTGGGCCTTCTAAATAGGCGAAAGCACTGGAAATAGGCGATGGAATAAGTCCCTCGTTTAAATGTATTCCCGGATGTGAACGTGCGCCATTGCGGACCACATCGACATCGCACTGGCGGCCATTTCAGCTGTGATAAAGAAGATTAAAACGCTCGCTGGATGACGCACAGAGTACCTAGGTAGGCGCCACCCGGTGCCTAAATCAGGCCCAACACAAAAGAGCACAAGGTCACACAATTAGAACACGTTGGAGTGCTGCCTTAATTTAACCAGCACTGTGACTGGGTTCGTTGGGCCGTAAGTGTGAATGACTAAGCACCCTTGGTGGCAATTTGGGCCACTGTCGGCGTAGTAGAAGCTCCGTACCCGCCACCGCAATGAACAGCTCTTCAATAATTTTCAGAGCATCCATCTTTTTCCCTCTGCATTCATCCTCCTCCCTCTCCAAACAACTTGAAGTTCGGTCCTTTCCGCTACGCTGAGCGCAGCTCCGCAACTCGTTTGCACTGCACTTCCTTGTAGCCTTGATTTTCTTCTCACCCTTCGTCCACGGCCATGGATCTCCCGGCCGCACCGACACCGCCCTCTGGTGGCCATAATGCGTCTGATCGTACCGCTAGCTTGCTCAATCTTCTCAAGTTCAGCGGTAGCTCTGCCGGCGCGAGCTCGCAGAAGCAGTTTGAAAAGGAGCTGCCACATCAGAAGCAACCTGGCTTGCCTCAGAGCTCCGCGGCAGGTCGTCTTCATCAGCCTGCACCAGCTGGCGCCGATCCTAGTGGGTTGCTCGCCGCCCTGATCAGAGGCAATCCCGAAAATGATGAAACGAGCCCGAGCCACTCGCAGCCGCCCGCAGCGCAGCAGCCGGCAAATCCGTTTGGCAACGGCTCTCCTCCGACGGACACGAGATCATACCTGCTCAACTTACTCAACCGCCCCAAACCGAGCCAGACAGATCAGCCTATGCTGCTGGAATCTGGGCAAGGTCGACCCCAATCGCCAAAAGGCAGCGAAAATTCTCATGATGTGTACTACGAGCCGCAGCACCCACAGATGCAGTCACACACTGTTTATGGATCTACTCAGCAGCAACATCCCGACTCTTTTGCGGATAGACAACCTGCTTCAAACGCTGGCTCCTCGTACTCGTACAACGCTTCACAAGATGTTCAAACGGATATGTCCGCCGCTCTGTATCAGCAGCTTATTGGCAGCCTTTCCAAAACGTCTCCGCAAAGCCCGCAAGCGGTCGCAGCTGCAAACGCCGGCCCGTTGCACATTCTGAAAAGGGACCAGGGTTCGCCAGCGGCCCGTCACCTGCACGAGCAATCGGCGACCCGTAGCGACGAGCAGAGCCCCCATGTGAGCCCTAGTGAACAGATGCGCCAGCATCTTGACCATGCTGCATCATACCAACCTCAGCACTCCTCTCAGCTGCCCACACAGTCTTCCCCTCCAGCAAATCCAGCCTCTGGCCAGCGCAACCAAGCTGTCAAGGAGCCGGTTTCTTCAGCAGTCAACGAATTGGCCAGCAAGGCTGACTCGGATGCTCGCGAAGCCCTCGCCCGCGCAGAGCAACAGCAAACGCGCATCGACAACGCCTCAACTCTCGCTAGCCAGACACGCGAGATGCATTCCCATGACAAGGTTGACGAGTCTGCTAGCTCTCACTTGACTGATGGTAATGGTGAAGCCAGCAAAGATCTGAAAACTGATCTCTTTGACGCGTCAGCAACCACCGTCCTACCTATCCGCGTTCTGATTGAGGAGGACCAAACTGTTGCCGACAGTTGGGAAAGCGCCGACCAAGACGAGATTCTTGTCATTGAAGAGCCCGAATTTCCTCCCGTGAAGGTGTACAATTTCCCGATGAAGCCCTGGATATCAATCAGTCTTCAAGAAGATGCCACCGAACCTCGCCCTCAATTTCGCGATGAATCCATCATGGACATTGCTCGACTCAAGAAAGACTTCGACCAAATCGACCGTAATCTTTATACCGCGTCGCGAACCTACATGACTTATGGCATGTCGAAACAAGGTGGCCTTCGAGTTATTCGGCAGGACGACGGAAAGGATGCGAAGGTTTTCACTGATACCAAAGACCGCATCTTCAACGTCGGCATGTCCGTTACACCCACCGATTACGAAGGGCCCCACAAGGAGGCCATCATCGGTACAGGTATCAGTGGCACCGTGTACTGGGTTCAGATCAAAGAGGGTGACAAGGACCATATTGATGATGCCCACCTGGAGCAGTATGGCTTCGCCCTTCCTCCTGTTTCTACACAAGAAGGTGATGCTCCGGGTGGAGCCCTGAAAACGCGTGCTAGAGCATCGACGAGTCACCCTGAATTCTTCGCCGTTGGCCGGGGCAAATGCATCAACTTCATTTGGCCTTCACACATTCTTCAAAACAACCTCTTCAAACCGGGGCATGATCGTGTGGTTGACACCGAGAGACTGTTCAATGAATGCTCTCTAAAGATTAACACTGGCAAGGCGGGCAAAGATTTCACATTCAGTCAAGATGACTCCGTTGTCGTCTCTCTTGATAAGTCTGGTCGGGTCAAGTTCTGGGATGTTCGTGACCTCACCGCTGCCAAGGAAGGCACTACCGGTCGCTCTGCAGTGCCTGCACACACTTCCATGGAGGTAAAGGAGCCCCTGATGACTTTTGCCAGCACGCCGGAAGGCGAGAAAGCCTGGCCCACGTCCGTTCTTTTGCTCGACAAGCTTCGACCATATCAGAGGAGGTGTGCGCTTCGCTATATGATTGTTGGTATGAAACAGAACCACACTCTGCAGCTCTGGGATCTAGCTCTGGCAAAACCTGTGCAAGAATTCAACTTGCCTCATAGCAAGGAATCAGATGCTGTCTGTAGCGTCATGTACCACCCGGCCAGCGGCATGATTGTGATTGGTCACCCGACGAGAAATTCCATCTACTTTGCGCATCTGTCGGCACCGAAGTACAACCTCAAGAGCGTTTCTCAGGCCGATTATATCCGGCGACTTGTCGACCAGGACTCCACCCTCTTGCAGCCGGATAGTACCGCTGTGATCTCTGGAGTTCGGGAATACTCCTTCGCCAATCGTGGCATCCTGAGAAGTCTGGATATCCTGTGCAATCCTGCTATGATGCAAGACGCTGATGAACCTACTCTTTTCGAACTTTACGCCATGCATTCCAAGGGTGTGGCTTGCATGCTGATCAAGCAGCATGAGTTGGGATGGTCAAAGGACAACAAGGTTTTGCAGGCCGTTGACGCCGTCACTGAGGGCGTCGTAACAGTTTCTAAACTGAAGACGCCGCAGGCAACGGATAACCACTCTGTCGTTGTTGAAAGTCGCTCTGGTACCCGCAGCTCTGCCAGAGAAGGCAATGCATCCTCAGCAGCAAGTCACGTTGAGGCCAACCAGCGGCCCCTTGACCTGAATGCCGGATCCAGAGCTCGCAATGAAGGTAAAGACAATGACACTGCTGCCCAATCCTCCAAAGAGAACCAACCGGAAAGGCCGGAGAAGAAATCCCGGAAAAAGAAGACGGCCGCCTCTAAGGAAGCGGAATCTTCATCTCACGTGTCGGCTGCAGCTCTTCGTGACGGGCAGTCCGACAAAACGGACATCAAAGGCGTTAATGGCATCTCGCCTGACGCCATGGAAAATGCTATTGCCAGCATGGAGGCTCGCCTGTCTGCTCAAATGTCGGACACGCTAAAATCTTCATTGAGAAACCTGCAGAGCAAGATTGACGAAGGCGCTCGCGTCAGGGACGAGAGCTTCAACCATCATCAGCTGAAGCTCCTCGATATGGTCTCCGAAGTGCTGAACGAAAACACCCAGAAGGTGCTTGAATCTCTTATCCACAGACAGTTCACTGAGTTGGTCATTCCTGCTATCGGTGAAAAGACAAGCAAGAGCGTTACAGACCTCCTCAACAACAGACTTCAGCCCAGCGTTGTCTCGGCCGTCCAGAAGGAGGTGCAATCTGCCATCCCACAGGCATTGACCCAAGTTTTACGGTCTGGGGAGCTCGCTAGCTCAATTGCCGAGCGAGTCAGCCCAAGTGTATCATCGGCTGTGCAACGCGACATGGCCGCCACTCTCGCACAGCGCCTGGCACCGACTTTAAGCTCGGTTGCCACGCAGTCAGCTCAACGTGTTGGTGGCGATCTTCAGCAGCAGTATCATGACCAATTTGAACAGTTGAAGGCCCAACACATGGCAGATTCAAACAAGATCGACCAGCTCAGGTCACAGGTTAGCCAGCTCACGGAAATGGTCTCAACCTTGGTGTCAGCACAGTCTTTGATGCAATCTGAGCTGTACAAGCTTAAGCAGCAACCCGTACACGAGCTGCCCGGCGTGTCTGGCACCCTCAATCACCATGTTCCTAGCACGGTTGCCTCGCATGGATATGGCAGCACCAACAATGCCAATCCAAGCAGCCACCCGGCGAGCTTCGCTGCGAGCCAGGCTGCGAGCAACACACAGCCGTACATGGGTAGTCCCCAGTATATGCGAGGACAGCACCTTGTTAGAAGCCCACATGGCTCAAGCGGCCCTTCTGATCATGTTGTACCGGCGAACAACGTCAACGCTCTCGTGGGTGCTTACGCTCATCAAATGAGCAAGAGTGAAGTTGAAGCCGACAATGATCTGGCCCAACGTATTCAGCTTATTGAGCAAGCTATGAGTGAGGGACGCCTCCATGACGCCATCATTCAGTGGGTGCAGAGTGGTAAAGAAGGAGAGATCTTCAAACGAAGCTTAGGCCGGTACTCGCCGACTAAGTTCGCGAATTTGCCTCCCCTCATGCTGCTAGTTGTGATTGCAACGATTTCGAAAGATCTCAAACCCAATCCGCGACTAAAGGAGGAGGTGGAATGGATCGAAATGGCAGTCAACGCTTTTGCTGAGAGCATGCCCAGTCATGTAAGCTACATTCCGAACGAGTAACCACGAAGGAGGCTCATACTAACTACACTGGTAGGATTGGGAAAAGCAGGGCGCCCGCGATGTCACCAGAAGCGCCTCTCAGACGATGCAGCTACTTGTGAACCGCATCCGACCGCTGATTGCAAGTTATCAAGATGGGTTCCCAACCGATCCGTCCCTGATGAACCTCGAAAGAGGAAAACTGGAATGGATTGTTCGAACGTCCGAGCATGTTCTCAGCACTTACGACAGTCAACGACACTATGAGTAGGCGACATCATATATGGCAAAGCGTTTCCGGAAGCTTTGTTGTCGCCTGTTCTCTTCGACGAGGCGTGACGACTTGGCGGTTAGCCTCTCATCTATGTTTTCATTCGCTGTATTTGTTTTGACATTTTTGGTTTTTTTGTTGCGCTGCATAAAGATTCCCCCTTTTATATGCAGGAATTGTTATCACGAAGGAGAAATGCGGCAGGAGACGGCTTCACGGTAGAGGACATTGAAGAGTGAGGCAAGCTAATGCACGATGCGTAAATGGTCTATGAAGATGATAGGATTTGTTAGATAATGTATATCTTTGCTGTTGTTGTACCTATTTTGACAAGGTGAATCGTCGTTTCTAATGCCCGTCGTCAACCTATTTTCACACGTGACAACAGAGAGAGCTGTTGGAACAGATGAGGGAAGCTCGGAGGCAGAGGGAGGGGATTACGCCTGCCTGGGGCATGGCAGAGTATCTGAAAAGTCGGCTAGCTATCCAACTACCAAATACCAAATGCCATGGTCGCCAAGGACTGTCGAAGGCAGGGGGGGTGTACTGAGAACATCTCGGAGCCATTGTTACCCTCTTGTCATTCTTCACAGCACGCCACCACCACCTAATGAAGAACAAAAGGGCCTTGCATAATAATGGCATGTCCTGTCTCGGGCGGCGGCGCCCGAGGGCGCAGGATCCGACGAGCTGCATCAACACTAATACGGCGACCAGTACGGAGTAAGTGCCTCAAACCATCGCACAGTCTGCACAGTGCGAGCGCTGCACACAGGTACAGACAGACAGGCTGCGCGAGAGGCGTTGCAGGGGTTTCTGCACCCGTTCCCAGTTTTAGCATTGAGAGAACTATAGTTATTGAGATGAACAAAGGTCCGGGATTCTGGCCCGTAAGTAGCTTTGTGGCGCAGATGTCGAGGAGAGTCGCTTCGACTTTCATTGACAGGGCGTCGCAGATTCCGTACTCCTACCTTGCTGTGTAATTTGTACCTGCAACGTGCAGCTTTGAGAATAGCCATGTTGTTTGTGGCGTGATACCTCTTGCGGCATATTACTGGGGGACCCAACTCGAGAAGGTTGCCCGAAAGGTCCCGAGAATAAGGCGAACCAGACCAACCAACAACGCAAGCCATTTCCCTGTTGCTTCATTCACCAATGAACAATAATAGTATAATTTATTGGTGCTCCCAGCCTGTTTCAGTGAAGCCCCCCGCCTTGATGTAGGTGACCCTGTGGTGCCAGTTAGCCGAAGACTGAAAGAAGGCCGCGATGAAGAAAATACGAGCCTCTCAGGGTTTTGGAATTTTTGACTATGGACGGGGACTAGCAGGGAGGCGTCAGGGCCATGGTAATCTACACGCGTTGTTGAAGCTATCGGCACCGTTGGATCATGTCTTTCAAATTCTCACCGCCCTTTAATACACTAGATAGCACCATCACCATCGACGATGACGAGCCGAGCGGCCGGGCAAGAAGGCACTGCAGCAGCCACTCAAGTAGCATTCCCGCGTGCGGAGGAAAAGGGCTGTGAGGCAGCGACCGCTTGCGAAGAATCGGTGCTAAGGAATACGATCTAGTCGGATGCATTCTCTATCCTAAGTGACTATCCTTCCACTGCTTTTATGACTTCTGATTTTAGCGCCAGAAGAACATATTGTCGCTGCAATTACTGCCGAGCATTCTTGCCCGCTTCTACACGAGCAGCGTCGAACTGGATTCCGGCAAGCTTTCCCTCCAGCAGCTCTTGACACTGAGCCTTCATCTTGTTCATATACTCATCATCAAACCTCGTCCCGCCCTTTGCACCTTCCGCCCCGTCCAACAGTCCCGCCGCCATGGCCAAGTCAGCCAGTGTTGCAAACCCCCCCATCCAACACTTCACCGTCAGCTTATCCAGCGCCGAGTCCCCTAGCTCGGGCAACTCCAAGTTCTCCAACATGTCAAGGACCTCGGATCCCTTGTCCTCGTAGAGCTCGATGCCCGTCGTCATGAAATGTAAGATGGAGCCAAAAGCAAACTGCTCGCTGCAGGCGTCGTACAGTCCAAAAGAGCCAAAACCCTCCCTACCACGCAGTCGCACCCACGGTGCGCCGTTGCCGGGGTTCATTGAACCCATTTTGGCAACGCTGTCGAAATCGGCGAGTTTGATGTGGTCATGCTGGTCGAGGAGGATGTTGGCCGGTCGCAAGTCACCATGCACGACGCCAATAGACTCGAGCCATGCGATGGCTCCGGCGAGCTCTGCAGCCCATTGCCCGATTTTCGTCGTCGGCTCTATACGGAGGACTTTGAGGCACCGCGATTTTCGAAGGTCGCGATCCTGATTAGAATGGATGCGCTGCTCCAGATTGACGGCCATGAGCGGCATGAAGTTCAAGCCGGGCAGTCGCAAGAAGCTTTGCAGGATGCTGGGCGGAGGGTCGCGCTGCTGAAATAAATCATAACTCTCATTCTCGGTCTGAAAATTGACGAAGCGTTCGTAGACACAGTATTTGAGAGCTATGCCGTCAGAGACGCGAAGCACCCACCCAGTAGCTCCCCCAGAAATCAAGTCATACGTTGTCAGGCACGTAGGTATCTGTGGCACCTGGCCTCGCATTGTGCGTAGATTCTGAAAGGAGGTCCTGGTGGCGGAGTCAGAGGTGAGGTAGCTGCCAAGTTGTTAGTAGAGTAGACCTGTTGCTCAGGGTACAAGAAAAGTCCGTCGATCTCCTGACCTGGGTGTATGTATGTAAAACAGGTCCGGAGCAGCGCTATGGGCTGAGAAAGGGGGGTCTGTCTTTTTCGAATGTTGGAACGATGCTGCAGTCGGTTGGCGGCGGCGCACGAAAATCCCAAATAGAAAGCAAAAAGGAAGAGAATGTAAAATTTACTGTTTGAACCTCAATTAGGATATATCCCTCTTCTAAAATGGCACATTGGGCTTCCATCAGCAGCGCCGACCTACCCTATAGCGACATCCCCGACCAATTGAGCCGGTGTCCTGTGATGTAGAGTGCAGAAACAGTGCCAATTAATTGATCAATGCACCTTGTGACCTGAACACTTAATGCACTTTCATGACACAGTCAAAGTCCAGACATAAAGGTTGGGCGGGTGTTTTGCTCTGGTGGTAGAGCACCCGTCGCGAACCAAAGTGCTTGGTTTGGGCTATCACACGAGCCGTTGGGCGCTTCTAAAGAGGGGTCGGCAATCACCTAAACTCTACTACCCGCCACCCAACAGCACAAGAATTATACGACAAGACAGCACCGGGTTCGTGACGGGTACACGTTTACGTCGGAAATGCCATCCACCGACATCACTGACAGCATAGTGGCCGGGCTCGCGGCTTTCAGGACGACGTCGGCCAGGCTGCGGCTCATCAGGTCCGTCACGCGGCGGCCGAGCCACTGGGGCGAGCAGTGGGCAAACGAGCACGGCCGAGTGCGGCCGCCGCCCGAGGGCACGTTTGCCGGGGCGCGGCCGCCGGCGCTGCAGTCGCGTCTGCTGGTGCTGGACGCGAGCTTCAACCCGCCGACGCGCGCGCACGCGTACATGGTGACGACGGCGGTGCACGACGTGCTCGAGGAGCAGCGCGCGGCCGTGGCCGAGGCGGAGCGCCGGGCAGCCGCGGCGTCGTCACCGATGCCCGTCGTGCGGCCCGAGACGGGCCTGGTGCTGCTGCTCGCCGTCGCCAACGCCGACAAGCCCGCGCAGCCCGCGTCGCTCGAGGACCGTCTCGCCATGATCTACGCCTTTTTGCTCAACGTGCAGGCTGAGCTGCACCGGGCGGGCGACAACATCCCCATTGCCATGGCCCTCACCTCGGAGCCCTTCTTCAGCGCCAAGGCCGACGCCTTGCGCACCGCCAGCTGGTACCATACGAGTTCGCACCACGGGACGTTTCGCAAGGTCGACGAGTATGGCAGGACGCTGCCCGGCACGCTAGACCTGCCGCCAATGGAGTTTATCGTCGGCTTTGACACGTTGGTGCGCATCCTGGATCCCAAGTACTACAAGGAGGTGGAAGAGGGGACGGATGCCGCGGAGAACAATAACGAGGAGGCTGGTGCGGCGGCGGACCAGGAAGACGTCGACATGGAGGGGGCAAGCTACAATGGCGAGGGAAACGAAGAGACGACGGCTGAAGAGACACCAGCGGCACCAACACCAACTCCGCCAGACGGCCTCGCCGCGCCGCCCTCACCGCGGCAGCGGCCGCAGACGCCCATGATGAAGGCGCTGGACCCCTTCTTCGAGCACGCGTCGTTGCGGGTGATGCTGCGCCCGGGCGACGGCCACGGCGAGCGCGAGGCGCAGCTCCGCTGCGTGGCCGCTCTGGGTGGTGACGCGCGCGACGACGGGGACACGGCGGGCGTGCTCAGCCTCGACGAGGTCGGCGGCGACGCGGCGTGGATGCGCAAGGTGCACCTGCTGTCGGACGGTGGCGGTGATGGCAACGCAGCGGCGGGCGTGAGCAGCTCGATGGTGCGGCAGCGCGTGCGCGACCACGGGCCGCTCGCGGCGCAGGATTTTGTATACCCGCTCGTGCTCGACTGGCTCAAGAAGCACGAGCTGGTGTACCAGCGGCCGCACCCGGACGATGACGGCTCGGAGGAGATTTCTTCGACTGATGATGACCATGCGAATGGGAGACACGATTAACGGCTGTCCGTAGATAACTATGTGGCTGTGTCTTGCATTTTTCTTGTTATGATGATGATGTATATTGTGCGATTTGAGTGGCTCTATGCAAACAAACCTTGAGCATTGCCTATTGTGCAACAATGTGAATTGTGGTGCGGCGCTTGTGCAAACGGGGATGCGGTATTCGTGAAACCGTACGTGTTTGCCGAATCAGTCACTGCCAAGATGCAACACGTGTTTTTTTGCAAATTTGATTGTCAATTTTTGCTTCGGTTTCCTCCGCTCTGGCCAGTTTTTCACTCGACTGCTGGGATCAAGAACCTGCTTCAATTTCCCAAACCCAGTCATCTTGTAGTCGGTCAAGGCCTTCGCCATCCACATCTCCCCCAGCAACCGCAATCTAGAACGAACAGTTCCATTCTCCCTGCAAACAAGTGGCCTCTTGATATCGTGACATTGATTTTTTCAGATCCACAGCGTCATGGTACCCTGGTAAAAAAGTCATCATTCACGGGCGCTTGAGCGCTCTGGAACCCTGCAGGCACCCGCCGGCCGGCCCCGCTGCAAAAAAGAATTCTGCCAGCAAAAAAACTTTTAGGCGGTGGCCAGCAGAATCACCGCCCCACCCACTTCTCAGTATAAAGGTCCGCCGTCTCGCTCTGCTTTTGGTTTTTTTCTTCTTTCTTCTTCACGTCGACAATACTTCAGTATGTCTCCCCCTACCTTCTCAACAACAGCCTCCTCCTCCAGGCGCTCTCTCTTCACACATCATCTCTCCGAGCTTCCTTTGCTAACCTCCCCTTCAGGAGAATCATTTCTATAGTAATCGACCCATTCTTGGTTCCTCAAAAGAGCCACAGAAATCCACCCTGGTTGATGATTGCATATCCTCGACACCCTAGAGTGAATACTTGTTTTCTGGTCCTCTCGAACTGTCCGCAAGGATGGCGGTCTTGGCTCTCGGGCCTTGACTGTATAGAGAGATGCGCAAGTCAGTTATTGGCCAGCTTCGGTTGGTTCATGTCGACTTGCCACTTTTGATGATCTCGACCCTGTCGGTGGTCTGCCTTCGGGCGCACTAACAGGGTGGGTGTTGATGGACGTCTGACAGGCTTCTTTTAACTTCTTTTTTTCATTGCGGTCCAAGGCTTGCCTCGGGCGTGAAGAAGATCGACCTTTCCCTTTGCTTCGCCGTTATGGGTTTGTCCCGGCTCGTGCTCAAGATCAGATTCTCCCCGTACCTGCAGAATACTTCGCATCTCATATTCCACATGGCTGTTCCTACCTTGGAACTCACCGTTCCTTTAAAAAAGGTCCCTCCCACCCACCACGTCCGTCCCCGTAAACACAACAGTGTTCCATACCGCTTTCGTGCCGCAACAGCCTAACCCCTTAACAACCTGCCTGCAATCAACGCCTCGCTCAGCGGCCCCCGACACAACATTCCCGATGCCCCTCGCCAGCGCCAGGAACCCCACACCATGTTGGGATCAAACGTCCACGCCGACGAGCGCCATCATGACATCTCTGGCACGTAAGATGGCGTCCCATATCACCAACACTACCTCCCAGCGGCACCGTCGTTCCCTGGCTCATGATGCCCAACCACGCTAATGTGTACGCACGCACACAGCCCGACACCGCGCCGCAAACCTCGTACAGCGACACCAGGTCTCTGGCCGAACCTCCAGAGCAGCAATGTGGCGGCGGCCGTGCCCGTCGTCAACACCAGGATGCCCGTCGTGACCGGTTCACCACCGTCGCGACTTTGAGCACGAGCAGCGTGGGCGCTGACAGCAGCGCCCACGCGTCACGACACCAGGTAAACGCCGGGCAGGAAATACCCCCAGCGTCTGGACCACATTGGTTCCCTGGAACTGCATAAATGTGCGGGCAAAGACGAGGAGCGGGTCAGAATACATGGAAATAGGTGATGGCCGTGGGGGTCTGTAGGTTAGACCAACCCATGGCGCAAGTTCCGATGACGGCAATCTGGATTAGGCTGCCGACGGCTCATGCGTACCTGTGGTTTTGAAAAAAGGCATCAAACGCAAATGGGAATGGCCACCGGAAGCGTATTGGCATGGCGAAATACTTAATGGCCCGTCGTTTCCGCGTCACTTGACGTCTCGTCGTAGCTACCCTGTTTTTTTTTGCCTCGGACAAAAAGACGGCCAAGCGGGCAGGCGTAGGTCAGCTATCTCAGTATGAGCTTACTACTACCTACCTATGTATGTAGTAGCTTGGCGCTCTATTCTCGAAGCAATATAACTTCTTCAGGCTTATGTTTTACCTTTCGGTTGGGTAACGGACTAGTTACGCGCCGTGCGAGCGCAGAAATGACGGAGCAAGAGGCCACATGCGAATCACAACTCGAAAACGCGTATATCATGCAACTTTTATTTGTCAACAAAAACAAGAATTACGCCCAACATCTGTGGTAACCTAAACATGCTAGACAGTGCGCCTCGCGCTAGGAAAATAGGAAAATACAATGCTTCGAAGAAAAATCTTGCAGCTCTAGTATGCGCGTCCCTTCGTCGAGCGACCAATCGTCTTGAACGACGATTCGTACTGTCCGTTCGTACCCATGACATCAAATCGCTGCGTCCCCATAGCATCTGACGTGTACCCGCTAAAGTAATACCCAGTGACCACGACCAGATACGTGAGAATCAGGATGCTGCCCTTGAAGTAGTTGCTCTTGCCTTCGCCATAGACGTAGCTAAGCAAGAACACGCACAGGATAACCGTCACCATGTCCCATTGCGGAAACAATAGCGAGAACGTGTACATGGCGGCCTCACTGTTGTCGCCGCTGGGACCGGTATAGGGGTACAGCGCAGAGTACAGCACAAGGGCGGGAATCTGCAGCAGGCAAACTTGGAGAGCATAAGCGGAACCAATCTCCATGGACAGTGCAATGTTGCCGTTCATAGCAAACGAGATGGCGTTCTACACACAGGTTAGCAGTCTGTATCAAGGTATCAACAAGCGAAGCCTTCAACGTACCAGAAATTCCGTCGTATTTGGCACTAACGCGAAAAGCGTAACGCCCAAAAACTTTTCATCTATCGCAAAATTTTCCAAGACAACGTCGACAGTGTCAACAAGAATCTCGGCAATGATGGCATACAAAACGGTAGCCGACATCAGTATAAATGCACTCTTTCCACGACCCCAATTTGGCGCATCGTGACCTCCGTGCCCACCGGTACTGTGTCCAGCACCGTCTTCTTCAAAGACACCTGCACGGGAAGCCGTGTGCTTTGTGGATGGCGGTACAAAAGACGCTTTTCGGCTGTGATGGCGATCCCGCGAAGCGATAGTAGCGGCAGTCGCGGCAATCTCCGCAACTTCGCGGACGAGCGCGGAGTTGTCTCCGTGACCGAGGCCGGTAGTGGCCTTGCCCAATGACCGACTCTCGGTGCCAGCGCTCTTTGGTGGTACAAAGTGAAGAGTACTTGGTGCGCCATTTGCCGCCGCTTCGTGGCTGCTAACGGAAGCCTGACGCCCAGACTCTTGCGTTGAAAGACCGACTTGTTTCAAGGACTGGCCTAGGATTCGCTTGTACAGGTGCGTGTCTCGGATGTCTGCACTGCTCGTTTCGGCCGCAGACGGCTGTGAGGGTCTCAAAACTGAAGACGCGTGCATTTGCTCCTCCTGACGCTTCTCCTCCACCTCGTAGTTCCAGATGACGGCGGCGTGCGTACGCAGGGTAAACCACAGACCGATAAGATACGAAAAGAAGAGCATAAATGCGGCGATGTAGCAATATGGCCGGACGGCTTCGAGATAAAATCGATCATTCAGAGCTGGCGCTTGCGAGAAATAGCATCGACGGCAATCACGACCTTCCGGACGACCGCCAATTTCACCAAAATCCTCACAGCCGAGGCACTGCAGTTCATGCGTGCCGTAGATTTGGTAAAATAGGGTTGGCCCAAAAGCGCCGACGACGGCGAAGAGCAACATGGTCGAGGTCACGCCTGCCGACTTGGCATTGAAGCGTTGCGTTTTGCGTTTCAAAGCACCGAAACACATTGAAAGCCCAGGGAGGAAGAGAATACCGGCGAAAATGCTGCCCACAATACTTCCCTCCACAAGCTGAGCTTTGCCTTGACCTAATGCGATACAGTACAGGAACACTTCTACAACCGTCGCGAACAAGGCGTTGATGGCAGCACCAAGTCCCATAGAGGACTGCGCCGAGATGGAGGCAACAGCCTGGCCAATAAAGTAGGCAAGGGGGATAATGGACACCAAACCCGCGATGAACAAGAAGGCCGGTCCGGTAATGAACATCTTCAGATGCAGCGCTCGATCCAGGACGGCCCAGTCAAAGATGACGAAGAAGACGACGGCCATGAGGTTGATGAGGAAGATGTTGGTCCCATCGATGGTGTACTTCCAGTATTTGATACCGACAGCGCGGTAAGTACAGAGCAGAATCGACGAATCGGGCCCATCGGAAAACCTGGCGTAATCTAAATGAGACTCAAACGTAAGAGCAAGTGGGTGGCGGCGCAGGTGATCAAAGAGCAGCATGGTCACCTTGCCCATGGGAATCCAAAAGACAAGGAACCAGCAGATCAGAGACACAATAATGAGGGATGGCGAGATGAGACAGTAAAAGAAGAGAAAGAAAATGACACGGCCGACATTCCATTCTCCTCGGCCAAATAGTCTTCTCTTCATTTGTGTGTTGTTTGGATTATCAGAACGTCTTCCGCGGCCGAGCAGGCTGTCGCTTTCGTCCCGTTCCGAGTCAACGCTACTTCGCGAGCGTCCGATAATGGATCTAGTGCGGTCGGGTCCGAAGAAGAGTCTACCATACTCCAAATCGCCACTTTGCCATTGCTCATACTCGGAAATGCTGCGACCCTCATCTCCATCTTCGTGCGTGTACTGCTCATCTTTCTCAAGACGAACGTACTTGCCAAAGGGATAAAAGAGATAGCCGGAAAGACCCCAAAGCACACGACCGTACTCTCTACCACTGGGAGCAGCAGCAAAGAGGAGGCACATGACGGCGCCAAAAGCTGCAAACAGGGCCATCCACCAACCGAAGCAGACAGTCCAGATCAGGTTGAACAAGACGAGCCACTTGTTGACGTTGCCACCTGGGGAAGAGTGAATATCTCCTTCGGCCGACTTTTGAATCGAGCGATCCTTTTTATACAAAGCAGGTTTCCAGACTCTGATACCAAAGGGGTGGGTCTGGTTGATGGCCTGCTGTCGGTCTTTCAGAGTGAAGCTCTCGGCTTCGCTAATGTCGCCTTCAGAGTCACAGTCGACGTGTTCCTCAAGCGCAAGCTCTTCGTGCTCGTGTTCGTGCTCGTCGGTCTCTTCATTGTCGTCTTCATCATCGTCCTTGACAGAGCTTGGGCGGGTGCTAGCGGCACTGGGTTCGGTGTCTACCATGGACTCGTTCCGGTGTGACTGCACGCGAGAGAGGGTGGTTGGGGGTGGTTGTCGTCGCCTAGCTGTGTATCCCCGCCCAAAAGCATCGGCTTCCACCTCGTGCGTGTCGTCGTGGGCAGAGAAGACCTCGCCGCGATGGGGGGTGGTTGAGGAGGGGCGTCTCGACAGAGGCGGCTTTCGCGGACGCGGGAACGACTTGGTACGGTCGCTAATGGTCGGCCGACCGGACTGCGACTGACGAGGAGTCTGCGGCGGATCATGTACGGAGGGTCGAGGTTCCGGAGCATTGGTTATGGTGCCTAGGAGGAGGTATTAGACACTAGCAACAACGAGTCAATGAATAGAACCAAACTGACCGTAGGAGCCTTCGGGCCGCCGCCTTACAGTATCAGTGGACTGGAAGCTCTCAGAAAGACCATCGCCATCGCGGGTGGTTGAGGACTCGGCAGCGGCGGCGGTACGACGGCTCGTTGGCGAAGTCGCGCTGGACCTGCGTCGGGCGTCGCGGTCGTCGTCCATGACGGCAGACGCTGTAGAGCCTTAAGAAGGCAGCAAGCTGCGGCGAAAGACAAAACAGGACACAATCGCAGAACTTGAAGCTGACGAAACGAGGGGATGGCAACAACGAAGACGCAGAGAAGAAAAGTAAGAGCTGGGCACCGTGGCGTGGCAAACGGAGCTAGTTGGTTGCTCAGGTGGAGTGGTAATCAACCGGGGAGGCCTGGTGACGACAGGGTCAGGATGTTTACACAAGCAAGCACCAATCAGGTTAGCAGCATACCTACCTGAAAGGATGGTACGAGACTCTGCGGTAATAAAAGTGAACACAGCGGAGGTAAGAAACGCTGATGTAGTGAAGCGAAATGAAGCTTCGGGAGCAACGGGAGGACAGGGATAGATAAGCTTTTCGAGGCGAGGCAGGTGGGCAAGCAGGTGTTTGTTTGAGGCAGAGCTTCAGCTACAGCGTCTTTGGGCCTAGTAACAAGGGCGACACTTGCCCCTCGATATGGAGGAGACAGACGACGGCGACTTTTTCGGATAGCAACGGATTATATGGCAAAAAAGAAAAGCCAAGAACAAAGCCCAACTAATGTCTGGTGTGATTCATTTTGCAGTCTGCTGGCCAAGGATGACATGTGCATGCTTGTGATGTCGATCATGGCCGCGTGCCGCTTGGCGCAGACGCAATACAACCTGCACGAGACGTCATACGACACAAGATAGCAGCGCTGCATGTAGTAGTCGAAGAGTCGAGCTGTTATCTAAATACATTCAGAGGCTCTCATTTACTGTTTGACGCTCCCTGGAAATACTGTTGTTGTACAAGGGAGTAGTGTAGGTAGGTAGTGTTGATCCGACCAAGCACAGAGTACGTACACTGGTTATACTGGAGCTGAGCCCAAGGTTTATACATCAGGCATTGCAGCATACCGTTTTGGCACACCTCATTTCGTTCAAATAACATGGCCAAGATGTGACAGTACTATGCCAAGCTCTGCACACAGACTAATGCATCTTTGTGAGATCGCCTGAATGCAGTGATCGTCGATGCACCCAATCTCCCAAGCGATGGCTCCTTCAGCGCCTCTACCCGCTAAATCGCCCGCTAAGAGGCAACCCGCCGCTCAGCTTCGCCCGGAGTTCGGCAAAACGCATTTTCCGTGGCGCTCCTCCTGCGCTTCGCTGATAGGCAACTCGCTGCCACGCACTGCGCCAACTCTTTGTGCGGCTTACGAGAGAGCTGTAGCCTTGCCACCAAGCTTCGCTAGCCATCCACCGTCTGTCCATCATCTCAACACCAAGCGCCCTCGTTTGCGATTGCCTCCAGCCTGCGCCTTTTGACACTACATTGATACTTAGCCTCGTGAATTGGTCTTGATCTCATTCACGGCATCCCGTATCTTGCTTCCCGCGCGACACCCTACTGCCGAGCGGCCCCCGTCACCATGGCGCTCGACGAATACTACCACAACAAGATCGAGGCGATGAAGCTCGAGATCCTCAAGGGTCAGGCCGCCCTTCGACGTCTCGAGGCTCAGCGCAACGATTACAACTCGCGCGTGCGCTTACTCAGAGAAGAGCTCGGTCTGCTGCAACAACCAGGCTCCTATGTCGGCGAGGTGGTCAAAGTCATGGGCACTAAGAAGGTCCTGGTCAAGGTTCACCCCGAAGGCAAATATGGTATGGGCTATACTTCTCTCATGACTGCGCGCGCACCCATCTAGTTATACTAATCCATGCCACAGTTGTTGACATTTCCGACAACGTCGACGTTAGCAAGCTCACCGCCGGCAAGCGCGTCACACTCCTCTCCGACAGCTACAAGCTCGAAAAGATGCTGCCATCTTCAGTCGACCCCCTCGTCTCCCTCATGATGGTCGAAAAGGTCCCCGACAGCACATACGACATGATTGGTGGCCTCGACCAGCAAATCAAGGAAATCAAGGAAGTCATCGAGCTTGGCCTCAAGCACCCCGAACTCTTCGAGTCGCTCGGTATTGCGCAGCCCAAGGGTGTCCTACTTTACGGCCCTCCTGGTACCGGAAAGACGCTGCTGGCGCGAGCCGTCGCCCACCATACGGCCTGCAAATTTATTCGTGTCTCTGGTTCTGAGCTCGTGCAAAAATACATTGGTGAAGGTAGCCGCATGGTTCGTGAGCTGTTCATCATGGCGCGTGAGCACGCACCTTCCATCATCTTCATGGACGAGATCGACTCCATCGGTTCCTCGCGTGTCGAGGGCTCCTCTGGCGGCGACTCTGAAGTTCAAAGAACAATGTTGGAGCTTCTCAACCAGCTCGACGGCTTCGAGCCCACAAAGAACATTAAAATCATCATGGCCACCAACCGTCTCGACATTCTCGACCCAGCCCTGCTGAGACCCGGACGTATCGACCGCAAGATCGAGTTCCCGCCGCCCAGCGTCGAGGCCCGAGCCGATATTCTGCGCATTCACAGCCGCAAAATGAACCTGACGCGTGGAATCAATCTGAACAAGATTGCCGAGAAGATGAATGGATGCTCCGGTGCCGAGCTCAAGGGTGTGTGTACCGAAGCGGGCATGTACGCCCTCCGCGAGCGCAGAGTACACGTTACGCAAGAGGACTTTGAGCTGGCCACGGCCAAGATTCTCAACAAGCACGATGATAAGGAGGTGTCGCTCGGCAAGCTCTGGAAGTAAATTGGTGCGACGGGATTTGTTGTATTCTCGGCGTGCGAGGAAAACAGGATTCCACGGTCATGCGTTTCACGACCGTCAAAGCTTTGATGATGTAAGGATAGCTTATTGTACCAATAGTCAACATGGCGATCCATTGGACTTTTTACACTGCCCTCTGTGACTGATTAACTGTCAACTTTCTAATCTCTTAACTTTATTTGCGTTGACTAGGCTCTCCCTCGGGCGAAACGACGCCGTGCATTCCCTTGTACGCCGACACAACAGCAGGCTTCCAGCCGACCCGTTGGAGAAGTCCCTCATCCTTTAGTTTATACACCTGTACATGAAGTGGGCGGCAGCACTTGATCATTTCCTGCTCACTATCACTGCCAAAACCCCAAAGGGACAAGTCACCTCCCGGGCAAGTACCTAGACAACGGTTGGCCCGCTCGTCAGTACAAAGGCACTCTAGAAGCCAACGGTTGCAAGCAGCGAAGAAGGGTGAGAGGGGGAAAAATGCGACATACTCAACGCCATGAGGAGATCCTGCTCGGCCAGAAACTCGAGCGCGTCGCCCTTTTGCGCCGGCGACGGGTTCATGAAATACCGGCCTTGGGCGTCCAGCCCCGTGACCTGAAAAATGTTGAGGACGTCGTGCACGTCGCTCTCGACGAGGCCCCAGGGCGCGACGGCACGCACGAGGTTGGAGTGGCAGTGAAAGTCGTACCGCGTGCCGGCCAGCACGGCGTTGACGTAGGGGTCGCAGCGCGTGCCCAGCAGGTCGTGCGCGCGCCCGCCATGCTCGTCCTCGCCGTACCACGCCAGGCTGTCGTGGACAATGGTGGCGAGCGGCCGCATGTACGGCAGACACGACCACAGACGATCGTGCGTCGAGACGTGCGACGCGTGCAGCTGCCGCGTGCGCGAGGCCCAGAAGCGCTCCCGCGGGTTGTGCCGGTTCCAGATGTTGAGGTCGCCTGCGAGGAGAGAGTTGAGCGAGGTGGACCCTCTCGGAAGCATTCATCTTTACAACAAGAGTTGGAAAACGTGGGGTAGAGAGGAATGTAGAGAACGGCAGAAGGGGGGCGGTATATAGATGGGGATTGGACGTACCGACTTGAGGCCCTTCGGGAGTGGTGATGCGCACGACGCACCCTCGAGGCACCTCCCAGGCTTTGCCGGAACGAATGGGAATGGTAAACTCTTCGAGGAGCTCCCGGTCCGCGGCTTGGATGGTCTCGTAGGTGGTCTTGTCCACGGTCAGCGGCGATCCGGCCGTGGGCAGGTAGGCCGGGACGGGCTTGGGGATGGGCTTCCGGGCCTGCCGGCGCTCTTCGGCCGATGCTTCGGGGCCGGGCTGGGACATGTTTTAGTTCGTCTTTTCTTCTTCACAAAGCAAAGTAGAATACTGGTGGGGCGGTTTTACTCTAGAGGACGTGGAAAAGAATTACATCCATAGGAGTGTCGCGCGCCCCTTTTCGCAAAGTCGTTTCCAATTTTTTGGCGGGTTAGAGCGCGGCGGTGCAACACCGAGGTCGCGGGGATCTAGGGTTCCACCCAACGGCATTGCGGGGAGGAGGGGGTTCAATGTCGTTGTTACCACCATGTTGGCGAATACAATGCCACTTTTATGACGATATCTCGTCATATGAAGAAATACTTGCTCATGTTTTCGATGTTGGCTGCTCGGAAGCTTCACACACGGGCAAAGGCTCCGTCTGCGGGTACAGGTAGACATGGCGATGCGCCCTCTGCACACCACGGGGCTGATGGCGGGGGGCAGCCTTCAAGAAAACTACATGGATTTGGGGTCATGGGATGTTTGTTTGCGAGGCCACGCAGAACGATGGCTGGACCGCCCGTCGAACAGACATCCACACTTGATGTGCCAAGAACGATGTGAAGCTTGGCTTGAAAAGAGGCTCTGGCTGTGTGCACAGCAGCCTCACTTGTCATATTTGAATCGGATCAAGCTTGCGGCATCCAACGACCAAGACTGACCTGATAGTCAAAGCGGCGAGAATTTGTGAGGAATACACGTGTAGCTTCCAAGTGAACGAGCACGGTCCGGTCACGGCGCAGTCGCATAAGTGGTAGTATGGATAGTCCCTAGGCGGATGAGACCAGGGGATGAGACAAACAAGATCTGTCATGATTTAGTTATCGTTCATCATGCTGGGGAATTTGATGTATCCTGAATGTCAAGCATCCAAGCTCAAACATGGTCGCGTGGTTGGCTGAAGACCTCGGAAGGATGCAGGGTTGAACCAAGGAATAAAAAATGGAGGGGGGACAAGTGGATAAAAAGAATGAGACCATCTCGGGGACCAGATTCTAGAGCCTTTGATCGACACTCGGTGACGGGTAAGTTGCATCGTATCAGTGATTTTTGTCATTTTCTTACTCAGTACGAAGTCCTGGTCTTGCTTCTTCGTTGCGATGACACCGAGCCTGGTGATTATTTAGTAAATAAGTTAGCAGGGCGGGGTGCACTACGGCGGATAGCTGGCAACAGGCTGATATAAATCAGGGAAAAGGATCAATATTTCCAGACGGACAATAAATGACGGGAAGGAAGGAACGGACCAGACTTCCCAAGATGGATTACATGAGGCCCCGGGAGTGTGATGATCAAGGGTCCTGTCGTCTTCAGGCGTCGGAGGATTTCCCCACACAGCCAATACAGTATCATCACAACGCCAAAAGGCAAAGGGAAAACAAGATTTTGCCAACGTACCACTTGACGGTGGGTGCAACAGTCATTATTGGATATTGAAATTTCTGCTTCTGCCTCTGCCTCTGCGGCTCTGCGAAACGGAACAGTCTAGACCTTTGCAGCCACGCCGCCAGCGCGTACGACTGTGATGTCATCCCGCTCCAAAGTGCTGTTCTAACCACCTACTAAACTAGTATAGTGAACTTGTCCGTCATAGGCGGGGGCAAGTGACACCAACAAAGCTTCTACGTTGTGCAACTAATAAGGTACTTTTATTTTCCAAATAGAGGAGGAGGGTGTGTTACAACGAGGGGAAAGGGGGGGGGGGGGGGCGGTGATGCGGAATCCAATGACCAGGCGCGTCCGCTACTAAAAAGCGCGGAGAGATGAAGACGACACCATCCAGACGCGCCGTGGCTTGATGCGGCCGGGCCAGACCTGGATTGGGATGGCCGTGAAAAGAGAAAAAAGAGCCAGAGAAGAGGGCTACGTGTACGTTGTTGTGTGCAATTGTCGTCGCAACTCCCGATTTACCGACTTGGACGCAACGGTGTTTTCTCCTGCAGCATGCAAGAGCCACGCGAGGATCAAGCAGTTTGCGTAAGCTGAAAATATGCATGTATTTGGCAAACGTGGTGCAAGGTGTCAAATTTTTTTCTTCTCTCGGCGCCCGAGATGCCACGTCTGCGTGGTGTGCTTCTGCGTTTGTTGCGGCTTGCTTTTATGCATATTCCGCTGAGATCTAGTTATAGTGGGCTTGCGTATCGAAACGATATCCAACGGTCGGCTTTGTTATAACTGATCAGGCATCGACACGTCCTTGTCAACACAAAAAAAAAAAAAAAGGATCCAAAGGGGCTTGCTTGTTCGCCGCCCCGGGGAGCATCTTGTCCGTGAGCCGGATGGCAAGCTACGGCGTCGGCGAAAAAGTTCTAGACCACCGGATTTTGGAGTTAATAAGGATTTTGGTACCAGGATCGTCACTGCCAGGACTTTTTGTGGTTGGTAACATTGTGATTTCTCGTGCAGGTTCCGGCTTGAGGATTTTGCTGGCTTGGCGGCTCTTTATTGGAAGTCGACACGGGGAGAGCCGTCCTTGCAGGCGAAGAACAAGGGTTTTCCCAAAAAGCAAAGATTCAAGGTTATGCCAAGAGAACTTTTTAGAAAAATACTTTCCAATTTGGGATGCGGACATGAACTGGCAGGGCGATTCTCTCCCCCACAGACAGACGGCGGCTGTAACTAATTAGAACTTTCAAATCTCTGCGTGGGTTTGATGTGCCAAAGAATGAGGCCAGAAGAAGCAAGCGAGCAGTTCCAACCGAGTCAGACGAGACGTTCTGGACCCTGGCCGGCCGGAACACTATGACGTGATGGCGGGCGGCCCAAGCATGGCGGGATACGATTCGGCGTTACAAGCCGTGGTACGTGCGCGTGAGAGAAGGCTATGTACGTCACAGGAGAGACGGGAAAAGGACATAGGGGAAAACTCATTACTCGGTAACACTGGTACAAGGCGTGATGAGAGTTTTGGCCTGGTGCAGGGCCGGATGCCGGACGAAGCCTCAACGGGCGATCAAGAGAGCTCGGCTCAGAGCATGTATGGATGAGCTGCAAGGGAAGAAGGAAATGTGTCGTCGTCGTCTGCTGCTTTTCACCGGTCAACTTGGTGCATGGTTTGACCGTCGTTCTGGGCCCTTCTATTTCCAGCCCGGGCTCCCTTGGCTTGGCTCGATCTGCTCTGCACCATGCCAATCAAGGCCGGTCCCCTCCCACCGCTACAATGACATATGAATGGGCGGCCGGCAAACGCTTTGTTTGCCCCCAGTACGAGGTATGTACCATCCAAGTACCGTTTTTACTAGCTAGAGAGCCGCCGGATACCACACGGCCAGTTTGCCTCGACTAGAATGAAGGATTGGCTGAATTGCTTCAAGACAGATGACAAGCAGCTACAGATACGAATAGTATGTGCGTGTATGCGAGACCGACTTGATAAGCGATGTTACTCATCGCTTTTGCTTGCCGTGGTTCGTCTCTCAACCCATTATACCTCTTTGTTCAAGTTTCAAGACTGCAACAGTTGACTGCAATGCAATTGATGCTGCCCCGTCAACGAGCCATTCAACGACCCCAGTCCTTCCGAAATATTGCTGCCTTCACTCGCAAAAGCCTCCTGTTCCTTTTCTTCTTTTTGGCTCTATTAGAAGGTCGACCCGGCTGGGCTCAGATCTCAACCCGGGTTTACGTGCCCTGTCTTTTTTTAGTTTGTAGCCCCTGTTCCCCTGTCTCCATGGCCCTGTTACTGGGTGCCATACTAGTAGGTACCTGGCCGTTACTTTGGCTGGATGATGCCTACTAACTGACACTGACTAGACCAAGGAAATTCAAGGGTGCTAAATCTTGCACCCGCCGCCGCCGCTGCCGCTCCTTCACCCCCCAAACGGCTTTTGTCTCATTGTTGATGATTCTAGGGTGACTTTTTGCTCGTTTTAGCATTCTGAGCCGTTTCCGATTCTCCTGATCTCTTGTCGTAAAGAAGAAATAAAACCCAATGGAGTGACTCGAGGACCCTGCATCAGCCGAGTCTAGGCCCTTGTTGTCTCTAGGCCATCGTCATTTTACCCGCACACAACTGAAATGCCTGATAAGACTCGTTGCGGAGGACGGTAGGACTGGGGGTGGGAGACAAACGTGCAGTAATACGGTTCCCACAGTCTAATAAACGCCCATCCCCATCCTATTAGTTATTTCCAAGTAGACTGTTAATACGTCCGTACTAACTAGTCAATCCTACTTACAGTCGGTCTGCCCACACGCACGCACACACTCGGCGCACACGCATATTTTGCCCTCTTGCACATGTAGGCCTCCGCTGCAGTGTCTCCCAGTTTCACTCTTGCATATTCACCCTATTCCCTTGTGCCTTTTGGCCATCTCTTCTCACCCGCCACGCGCCATTCGCCAGTCCGTTGCATTTACCCTGCGCCCACCCCTCCTGCATCGCTACCGTGTCCTGCAGCGTGCATCTGCATCTACCGGCCAGCCAGCCGCTCGCTACCTTGCCGTATACTACGCCTCGTGTTGCTCGACTTTGTGTGCTCTGCTCCGTCGGTCGTGGCATCTTTCGCTTTCTGAATCAATATACTGGTCAATAGCCCCTGGTGACCAGTTCCGGCACGGTACACAAAAAACAACGCCACTCAAACAGGCCCTTATAACGAACCCTTTTTTCCCGCACACCCCTTTCGACCTCGTTGTCTCGAGCTCGAAAAGTAAAAACAGAAGGCCGGCTTTGACTGTACTTCGGTGTGCTTCCATTTACAACCAAGAAGACGTCTTGTCGTTGGTCGCTCGTTACCCGTTGCGTCCGTCTTTTCGCCTTTGCGGCTCCGCCACCGTTCTCGTTCTCGCCACCGCCTCCCTCGTGCTGTTACGTCACAGGCTGCGTTACAAACCGACAACCTCGATTGAGACTCTTTCTGCGACGACGCACGCGACACTTGCCTTCTCACCATCCCTCCGACATTGATTACTTGGAGCCATGGATTTTTGAAGTCTCCCGCTCGGCCAAGTCTTAAGCTGATTGGCTTCTCTCCCTCTTCCGTTCAACCTGCAAATTCTTCTCCGAATGCCTGTTCAATACACAATGAAGGCTCACACTGCACGAACGCCTGGGGTATCCAGTCCCCATCATCTATCAAGACGACCTTCACGAACTGTCACGAAATCAACGACACCCCTTACCTCACCTCGCGCCGCCTGTTCCGTCGGCCAAACCCATCCGCCCAGGGGTTCTCCTGGCCGCCGAGCACAAGCACGCGCCCCAAGTCCCAACTACTTTGGCCTGGTCATTGACTCCAATGCCGAGGGAGCCGAGTCCTCCGCCCCTGGGAAACACAACTGGAGTCCCGCGGGCTCATCAATCAAGTCCTTCGCCGCCGCCCTGCCCAAGACGGTACCTCTTGAACCCAACTCCGAGTTCGAAGCTTTCAAAAGGCAGGCAGACCGCAATTTCGGCCCCTCCTCTGCCCTCCCAACAGCTAGCCATGTCCCCTCTGCATCTGCGCACATGGCCCGCCCTCGACCGGCGCGCTGGCACTCCCATAGTCATGAGCCTGCCACTGAACCGTCGTCATTTCGACTGGCGCTGAATAGAATCCGCGCCGATATGGGCCCAATAAAGAAGCCCGAGGTTGACCACAGCACCTTGCACGATTCTGCATATGTATCATTGGACTCGAAACGAAACTCTGATATGTCTCTAAAACTACCTCATATTGCACCCCCCCCACGCGTTGCGTCGCCGCTCCCTATCGAGGAAATTAAGCAGCAGCTTCCACAGTCATCGGATCAGCCAGCAACGATGGAGCAATACCGCGATGACCGATTCTCACTTAACGAACCTCCATCACGACGTTCATCACAAAGCATCAGTAACCTGGCAAGGGCCTCCACTCTACCTATGAAGCTCGATACCGCCCAGAGCCCTTTTATCGCTGGCGAGCAGCTCGTCAATATCATGGAAACGGCCATGGACAGTATTCTTCTCCTTGATGTTCGTTCAGTCCAAAACTTCTCCCAAAGCCGCATCAAGCATGCCCTCAACCTTTGTATTCCAACGACGCTGTTGAAGCGCGCGACCTTTGGCATCGAAAAGCTCCAGCAAACCTTCCAGGATAGCATCAACTCGACAAGATTCAACCGCTGGAGGGATATGCAATGGATCATTGTTTACGATAGCAACGCCTCCGACAACCGGGATGCTATCACACCACAGAGCATGATTAAGAAGTTCGCCGCAGCGAATTACTCGGGAAAAACTGCTATACTTCGCGGAGGCTTCAATCTTTTCCGACAGTCATTTCCCAACTTTGTAGACAACGAGGCAGCCTCAGCACCCGCCACGAAATCACATTCGGCAACTTCGAATAGCAATGGTATTGCGCCCGTCATTGGAGGTGTCATGCTACCAAATTGCATGCGGGAGCCAACTCCGTTCTTTTCCAATATTCGCCAAAATATGGACCTCGCAGACGGTGTTGGTCAGTTTGATGTACACTTGCCCGATGGCCTCGAAGCTTCATTGCTCCCTACCTGGCTGCGCGAGGCCGCTGCGCCTGGGAACCACGGCAAGAATGTATCCGACAAGTTTCTGCACATTGAACAAGAGGAGCAATCGCGGATGAGGGGAGCGTATGCCGCGTTCAACCCCAACCACGCACAATCTGCAAACAATGTCCAGCTTTGCGGTGTGGAAAAGGGCGTCAAGAACAGGTACAAAGACATCCTTCCGTTTGAGCATAGCAGAGTCCGTCTGCAAAACAAGACGTCTAGTGGCTGTGACTATGTCAATGCCAGCAACCTCTCGGCTTCGCGTAGCAACAAGAAGTACATTGCCACGCAGGGTCCTTTGCCAGCCACTTTTGAAGATTTCTGGTCTGTCATCTGGGAACAGGATGTTCGTGTCATTGTCATGCTGACGGCGACGACGGAAGGCGGGCAGCTCAAATGCCACCCGTATTGGGAAGGTCGCGAGTTTGGGCCCTTTCGGCTGCGACCCCTGTCCGAGAAGAAGGCTTCGCTTGACACGGATAAATATAAATCTGACTCCAACAGCACGCCGGCCTCAAACGCGTCTGAACGTGGCCGGCGTCGAGCCAACACCACGACGGCATTCGACGCGGCACCGAGCCATTCACCCACAGAAGAGGCGCCATACGTCGTCATCCGCAAATTTGCGCTCTCGCACTCGTCCCAACCCTTTGCACCCATCCGCGAGATTACTCACCTGGACTTTCCAGGTTGGCCCGACTTTGGGGCTCCCGCTAAGCCGTCGCACCTCCTTGCGCTCGTGGAACTGGCCAACGTCATGCAGCGCGCTGCTCGGCCCGTAGAGACCAGCGCTGTCGTTGATTCGCACAGGACGATGGACGGCGCACCGTCCATCCAGTGGCACGACGAACCAGAGGCGGATGAGGACTGCCGGCCCATGCTGGTTCACTGCTCCGCGGGCTGCGGCCGCACTGGCGCGTTCTGCACCGTCGACAGCGTCGTCGACATGCTGAAGCGAAAGCGCCAAGCAGACCTCACCGGAATTGTGGCCAAGGATACAGAGGGCGATGTGAAGATGTTCAACCCTTCCGAGGCACTTTCGCCCCTGTCGGCCTCCGGTTCTTACTTTCAGCTGGACCAGTGTCCCACAGCCAGCCAACTCGCCAACTTGCCCCATCAGAAGCGCAACTCGGCGGCGCTGGACACCACGTGGCTGAATGACGACTCGATCGACTTGGTCCAGATGACGGTCCAAGACTTTCGACAGCAGCGTCTGAGCACGGTGCAAAGCCTGCGGCAATACGTGCTCTGTTACGAGACGGTTTTGGAATGGATGCAGTGCATGCAGGACAAAACGGCCAGCACCACGGCTGGACGGAAGCGCAGTGGCAGCTTGACGCTGACACTGCCTCACTAAACAAATAGAGATATAATGGGATATGGGAACGATGAGTCCACATTTAATGGCGAACATGGCGTTATCACTTGAATTTATCAACAGCGGCTCATCATGTATAGCATCATGTATAGCGAAGCGGACATGTATATTGGCAGTGCCTTGCGTGCTTTTTTTTTTGCCTTGTCCCTACAATGTACACGCGAATCAAAAAGGAACAGGGGGGAGGAAGCATTTTTGATGAAAATAGCAAAGGAAATAATAGGGTTGTTCATAGCCACTGCTCTTTAATTGTACTTTTTTTTCTAAACTTTTTGCTAGTTCTACTTGAAATGTGAGTGCCTAGGCACTTGAACTTTGGCGACATCTTTGAGCGACATCTTACGGGCTAGTAGGCTAGGGCGGGCTATGTCAAAGAAGCGCCTTGTTAGAATAAAAGGATACAAGGAAAATAAGCTTGTCTACTAGTTTGTGCGGCTAAGGATTTCTATTTAGATATTCTCATCACGCTAATCGGAAGTAGCTGCATTATATAATATTCTGTAACGCGTAGACGGAGATGTAAGATGGGGAAGCAATATCTTAGGTCAAAGTCTTGTGTGTCAAATTGTTGAAACTGCCGCCAAGTGATATAGAGGAACAATTTATTAGTAGGCAGAGTGGTGTTTTGTAGCGATACGCGCCCCGTTCTCCAGGGCATGCCGTGAGCAAAATGATGTGCTGACATAAGGCACTGGAAGTTTCACCAGACAACCTCTGGCTCAATGCTCATCCCGTTCGTGCTAGAAAGCGACGAAATAATAACCTTATGGGCACCTCCGTTGGTGGGAAACTGAGTCACCTAACCACTACTGAGATATTTCATTACTGCACCACCCAGAGATAAAGACGGCAGTCTTCAAACGCCAGGGGCAGCCACCCGAAGCAATATCATCGAACGCAACTATCATGCTAGATGAATCACCGGACTATGTAGTCCTGTATGGCTCGGACGCCGAAATCAAAACGCTGGTTACGCAGAGCCCGCGATTGCACCTCGATAATAATGGAGTTGTACTGTTATCAGACCGCTTCATCGCCAAATTCTACACGCCGGACTGCCTCACCGATAAGATGAAAACGATCGAAATTGCGCAATCTCTCGGCATACGAATACCAAAGATAATACGAGCGATACAGCATCCCGACGTGACGTTTCTCGTTATGGAACGAGTTGAAGGGCAGACACTAGAAGACGCCTGGGCTGGGCTAAGCTGGTATTCCTCTCTTCGTCTGGCCTTCCAGCTCCGCCGCTTCGTCTCGCTGATGCGATCGATCACCTCGGACACTGCCGGATCTATTGTCACAGGCGAATGCAGGTCTTTCTGGTTAGATGACCGGTTTGGACTACCTGCAAGGGCGACCGTCGGATATGTTATGGAGTTCCTAGCCTTCTGGACGGGCTTCAGATCTATCAAGCATGAATATAAAAAAAGCAGTCGTGATCACGCAGTTCTGAAACGGTCTTCAGATCTGCAGGTAAAGTCGTTTGTGCTTACACACCATGATCTTGCACCTCGCAATATCATGGTTGATAAGCTAGGAGATGCATGGCTGATTGATTGGGATCTTGCTGGGTACTACCCAATCTACTTCGAATATGCATCAATGTCGAATTTTCGGATACCAGAGAGCTGGGGATATTTCGGGCGGCTACGCTGGTGGATTGTTACATGGTTAGCGGCTGGGCGATATGAGAAGCAAAGCAAACAGCTCTGGGCAATCAGAACCAAGCTTCAACGGTTTCCAGTAGGACGGCGGCTTAATATCAAAGCAAACGTTACTCAGCCGAGATTAGAGCAAGCTTTAGCGTCCTCCGAATCATCTGATTCTAGTGTATAGAGTTACGCTAACAAAATTGGGCAAACACTCATCCGTTGTTCTTTTCGTCTTACCGACCTGCAGAACCAGACAGCTGCAGAGCATGCCAGTCAACACACCTTACCCATCATCCGACCCCGCGACCGGACGGTGCGGGGTAACAGTCGACGTTCATCGGGTAATATCGACTATCTAAAATCGCAGGAATTCCACCTGGTGCAATGTTGTACCGAGATATCGCCTAGAGCGGAGCGGAGTTGCGCGCACGACTTTTGCAACCCGCTCTGTATCTCTATATCACAGCCGAGCTCCCGTCCCCTCGCCCCATTCGGCCTTTCTTCACTACTAGCTTCACTCCATGATGGGTTCGCATTCAGATACAGACGGATACGATGTCATCATCATTGGCGCCGGCGTCTCTGGCATCAACGCTGCCTATCGCCTACAGACGGAGCTGCCCGGCTGTCGACTCGTCATCCTAGAAGCCCGCGCCTCCATCGGCGGCACGTGGGACCTGTTCCGCTACCCAGGCATCCGGTCCGACTCTGACATCTTTAGCTTTGGCTTCGCCTGGCGTCCCTGGTATCGCAGCGAGCTCCTCGCCCATGGCCGCGACATCAAGCAGTACATGGTGGACGCGGCTCGGGACACGGGCATTGACAAGCACATTCGCTACCACCACAAGGTCCTCTCCGCCAACTGGGTTTCCAAGGAGCGAGCCTGGGAGCTTCTGGTCCAAGAGCCTGGTCGGACAGAAGCAGCCGTATACCGTGGTCAGTTCGTCTTCCTGGGTACGGGGTATTACAACTACGAACAGCCTCGTCAGACGACCATTCCCGGCCTCGAAACCTTTCAAGGAAATATTATCCACCCGCAGTTTTGGCCAAAGGACTATGACTATACCGATAAAGAAATGGTAGTGATTGGGAGCGGCGCCACAGCCGTCACCATTGTGCCGTCAGTTGCCGAAAAGGTCAAGCGCGTCACCATGTTGCAGCGCAGTCCGACATACATGTTCCCCCTGGCCAGCCGCAGCAGAGTGCGCAGCTTTCTCTTCGCCGTGCTGCCAGGGGCGCTTATGCACAGAATCAACAGAGTGACTTGGATCCTCTTCGCCTACCTGCTGACAGTCTGGTGCGCGCACTACCCGGCGGCTGTGGCGCGGTACATTCGGAAGCGCACCGTGGCGGCGCTGCCGGCGGGCTACGCGTGGGATCCGCACTTCAAGCCGCGGTACAAGCCGTGGGAGCAGCGGCTGTGCGTGGTGCCTGACGGCGACATCTTTGCTGCGATCCGCTCGTCCAAGGCGGTCGTGGTGACGGACACGATCGAGACAGTGACGGCGGACGCGATCCGGCTCTCGTCGGGCCAGCGGCTGCCCGCCGACGTCATTGTCACGGCGACGGGGATCCAGCTGCTCTTTGCCGGTGGCATCCGCTTCACGCTCGACGGCGGGGCGCCGCTCGACGCCGCGCGCAAGGTTGTTTGGAACGCGGCCATGATCCAGGACCTGCCCAACACCGTCTTCGCGATTGGCTATCTCAAGTCGGGCGCGTGGACGCTGGGCGCCGACTGCGCGGCGCGGCTGCTGATCCGGCTGATGAGGGAGGCGCGGACGAGGGGCGCGAGGATGGTGACGCCGCGGCTCGACGAGGACGGCGGCCGTGAGATGGCGAGGCGGCCGCTGTGGGGGATATTAACGTCGACGTACCTCGAGGGCTATGAGAAGGCGTTTCCGCAGACGGGCACGGGGATATGGTGCAATAGGGAGAATTATATCAAGGACATGTATGCGGCGAGGTGGGGAGATATTCAGACTGGCTTGTGCTTTGAGGAATGATGCGGAGGGAGGAGGGACAAGAGGAACTCATAACCGAGGATTTCGTTCTCTGTTACTCTGTACCTATAGATAGCGAATTCATTCGCTTCTGGGAACGAATAAACATGAAGTAATCTTACAAGTTGCTCCATCTGCGGCAAACGCAGTGGTGAACAATTCAAGACAGCCCGCTGAAACCCGACGATGCACTAACGAAAGGCTGAGGCGTCAGCGCCCTGGGAAGCTAACTGTTTGTTACCCTCAACCACCATCTCCTCGACGCCATGAGACGCTACACTGTATTTGGACTGTGCTGGAGTTTTGTCACCCGAAATTGTATGCGCCAGGTGTTAGCAAACTAGTTAGTGGCTAACCTCGCAACGTTGAATACCTAGGAGGTAGTGATTATTGCTATCCGTGCGCGGGGAGGCAAGGCTGTGGTGTGCGCTAGAGTCCAAAAATAGCGTCCGTCGGGCCACATCATCCCAAGTGATGAAAACATGAAAACATAGTTACTAATAAAGTGATGAACTTGAAGGCTTGAGCCGTCCCCTATTTGTTTTACTGCGGACGCGGTTCCCCCATAGTAGCTTGGAGTAACTGGTAGGGCCAGGACTGCAGATGTCGTTGTGCCCAATAAAATCCGTACATGCATCGTCTCGGCACTTGACTGTACGACGGGGGTTGATGCAGAAATGTGCAGGAGTCTTGAAAGGAGCAAACGTACGAATGAGATGTGAGATATCCGCGTGTCGGCGCTGACGACGACGTACGTTGGACGCCGCCGCCGCCGCCAAGTCTTTGCCAGATGTGTGTGGGCACCATTGATTCACGCAGGATTCAGGTGGTGTGCGAGGTGGTGAACGTGGTGAGCGAGGTGAGGCTGCCAGCTCAAGCTTGCTTGTCTTGCTTGCTTTCTTGCTTGGACCCCGCGATGCCAGGAAGAGCACCGTGACCGAGACGCGACAACACAGTGTTATCCCGTGCGGACGCTGGTAGTGATTGATGCCGGCGAATTGACTGGGAGGATAAATTTAGAATTTCGTAATCCGTAACCCGTACTCTGTAGTTACGGAGTATTGTGGCCTAAGATCAAGTTCGATAACCTACCTAGGGCTATACCGAGCCTATTATGGCGCTATGGACAGTGCGCTGTAGGCCTACCTGGTACTAATGTGTGAGCTGTCGGTAGCGGTGTGGATAACTGGACGGAAATGGCAGCTGACAGACGTTGGCCAGATCACGTCTGTCATGACTCTCATTCTGAAGGACTGTTGATTATTCTTTATTTCTTCAAATTTATCCACAGCGGTGTATTTCCAGTAATAATAATAGGGACCGTTGGTAGCAGTAATACGAATAAGCTTTATCCGCCGGAAAACGGCAAGCCCCAAAGCTAAAATATAACGGCAAGTCCCCTACCTAATGAGGCGTCCCCCCTAACAATAAATAATGGTACCACCGTCTCGGGCACAGCCGTACCAGATTGTCACTGCCTTGCCTTGGCACCCCTGGCGCCTGGCACCTGCACTGCACTGCCAGTCTCCAGTATCAGTACCCTCGTCCCTCGTCAGCCCTTCTCTCATGTTCTCGCATCGACACTGAAAAAAAATCATCCTCCAAAGCAAGCGACGAATTTCGACCTTGTTTCAATCTTTCTCCATGTCGCTCAATATCTAACCGGCCGCGGCCTCTTCATCCTCCCAACGGCCGTCCGCCACCATGGACAGCGCAGCGCCCGCGATCTCGCCCTCGCCGTTGGCCACTCCGCCGCACACGCCTGGCCCCCCCGCCGTTGCTCTGTGCCGCAAGGCTTCGTCGTCGGCCTTTGAGCGCCTCCCCGACGAAATCATCGCGCAGTACGTTTTCGAACCAACCACTGTCCACGGCCTCATTGCTAACGCTGCCCTTGGCAGGATCCTACGTGTCGCAGGCCCCGACAGCTTCGCCTCCCTCATCGTCGTCAACCAGCACACCCGCCGCGTCTCCCAGCAAGCCGATCTCTACGCGAACCAGCTCCAACGATGCGCCTCATATGCCACCGCCCACGCCACTTTGGCCCAGATCCAAGACGAGGACCTCCCCAAGCTTCGCCGTCTCTTTGCCCGCGAGGTCAAGCGCAACTTCTTCAACGCCTATAATAGACCCTCTGAAACGCTCGTCAAGCTCGTGTCAAACTCCAACAGCTCCTCCTCCTGCCCTGGAGGTGAGGGCATGCAGTTCAGTGCCTCCTCCAAAGGCCATCACCTCCTAGCCTATAATTCCTCTCGAATCTATGTCCTCGGCCTCCAGGGTGCCCAACTCCAAGTCAAGCGCGAACTCAAGATCCAACGTCGACCCATATCCGCCACCATCACCGATGATGCTGCGACCCTAGTAGTCCTCTCGACAGAAATGCAGGTCGACCTCTACAATCTCAAAAAGAGCCCACCCAAACGAAAGCATGCCATCATTCTCGACAAAGCCCCTCGCACAATTGCCGTCTCCTCTTGCGGCTCCGTCATGGCCGCCGCCTACGATACCGGAATTGAAGTCTCTTCGTTACACCCCAATGCCATGCCCACCGAACGCCGCCAAGTGAAATGCGATCCTGTTGACAACCTCGCCTTCTCCTTTGACGGCACCCAGATCCTCGGCACCACGCTACACTCGAGTCCTCCCAACACTGTCGTCTTGACAGCTCCCTACTACGACCCAAGCACCCTCGCCGACCAGGACAACCTCAGCGCCATGTGGACAACGTCTATTCTCTTCCCGAATACTAGCCACGACTGTAGCCACGCCGTGCTGTTACAAAATGGTACAGAGGAGGCTTTCTGGGCCTTTGCTTACGATCCTAGCTTTGAGACGTTTCGCGCCATCCGCATTGACGACCTGCGCAATGGCACTACCTACTTCACCGGCCCCGTCCCAAGGCCATCGTCGCAGTCCAAGTTACTTCCCAGCGCATTACCAGCTGCCGCCTACCATGGCCACCTAGTCGCAGCTGGTTTCCATGGGAGCCAAGTATGGGTGTACGGCGTGCCCGAGGATTTGGATGCTGTTCCTGAAAACCACATAGGTGTATTCGATGGCTTCCCCGGCCACGGCAGGAGAAGTAGTCAACACAGTAACCTCTCGCGCCATGGATCATCTCGTGGCGGAGAGGAAAATACTAGACTTCCCCAATGGCAGCTCCTGTGTGACAAGCTGCGCAACAATTTCATTGGAGGTAGGAAGGTAGCTGATCTTACTGCCATCAGTACCGTCAAATGGGTAGAGGGATTTTCCACTTCGTCAGTCAAGGATCGTTTACTGGTGACCTCGCGAGAAATCTCTCCTGCTAGGCTAGCCACCGACGAAGAGGACATTGACTTCGTGGATGGTGGCCGCGTGTGTATCCTTGACTTTGAGTACGGACCACGAAGTGGTTCGAAACGTGAAGTTGTCATCGAGGTTGGAACAGACGACGCCGAGGTCTTACAAGAGGAGCGACGCGACATTGAGACAGAAGTGGCCATTGTGCGTAGACGCACCGTAGTACAGAACCGCTCCAGCCGCAATCAGCTGTTCCGCGCTGCCACGACTGCCAGGCAGCATCACATGCCAACGATACCTCCCAGACAACCAACAGAGCTTGATGACCCCCTCGTGCCGAGGAAAGTTGGAGCGAACCCTGCCGACACAAGCGAGAGGGATGACGAATCTGTGCCATCCATGGACGACATGGAAGCGTTGGACGCCCCGTACTCACATGCAAGCCCTCGTTCCACAACAACCTTGCGACGTGCTGCCACTGCCGCTGCCGTGAATCGTCGACTCAACCCACGTACTGCGGATGGCCAGAGGGTCGTCTATCGTCGCGCTGACGGGCGAGGCGAAATACCGCACGAGAGCGATGCTGATAATTGGGGTTCCTCCTCCGCCTCCATATCAACCAGACGATCCAGGGACTCTGCCCGCCTTCCTTCGACGGCCAGCTGTTGCACCGCTACCATCCCCCGTGCGACCCTATACCGCTGTTGTGCCGGCGCCAACCCAGGCATGGCCTGGTCAATTTTATCCCCGGGATGAGCAAGGTCAAATGGACGGGATGCCTTTGCGTCAACGAACCGCAAGCGACGAAACCACGTACAGTAGTATGCAGCGATTTGGGGATATTCCACGCCCGCTCTCGACACCATCTGTCATGCCGGTCGATGCCGAATCGATAATGGACGATTTGTACACGGTTTCCCCATCTGTCTCGCCTGATCCAGAGCGCCAAGCCGTTGGAGTGGAGGAGTCACAAACAGAAAATATCTTGTCAGATGTACGCCACTCTGAAACGGCAACCGCAAGGACCACCCCCGCCAACGTCGAATACTCGGACGCAGTTGAACAGATCCAATCCCATCGCGAGCAGACTGGCAGCCGGGCCTTTTCAGTCACCATTCCATCGGCACAGCTCTCTCCGGTAGACGAAGATCACGTGCATAACCGGAGACTTTTAAACGCGCAGACTTGGCCTCTGGTGGCCCGCATAAAACCGCAAAAAGCGTCGCCACCTGTCCAGCACAATAGTGCGACGTACTCGGCATCAGCAACAGATGCGACCATGGCGGGAATGGCGTCTAGTTCGCTCCCCCCGCCTCCCAGCAGTGACCAGATCAGTCGACTGAATAAGCGGATAAGCATGGGTGCTCCACGACGGCTGTCTGGCGGGATTCTCAATCAGTGGTCTGTCCCAGACAGCAGAGCAAGCCTCATGGGGACACCGACGAAGCAGCACACTTATGAACACGAGTCAACATCCGATGTACAGCTGGTGAACCCCGACGAGGATCAACCGCTCATCATAAGCACGCCCAAAGGCGTGAGCGGGGCGTTTGATTCCCCAGGGGAGACGGAGATATGGGCGCCAGTGCCTCGCCGGCCTCGACAGAACATTCCGTTTAATCCAGAACAACCTACCCCGCCTGTGCAATCACTGTTTCCGGCGCTGCCAAATAGCGACGCGAATGGGACAAAGCAAAAGGCTCGCCACCTGCCGTCATGGTTGTCCTCCTCGCCTGCAGCTTCGAGATCACCGATGCGTGTGAGCCGCAAGCCTAGCAGAGCTGAGCGGGGAGCAGCGAAGAATATTCTCGATGCTAAGAAGCGGGGGTGGAGGCCCAAGTCGAGGAAATCCCAAGAACCAGAGCCAACAGTTCTGGGTCCGGAAGACTCTGGCTGGACAGATGTTCCTCCCCAACCAGCTCAAAAGGACCACAGGCGATGTGTCATCATGTAATTTCGGAGTTTAGCGAAGGGTCAATATGGTGTGCCGACCCAGGCTCATATAAGATGCAATTTGTATTTGTGCATGATTAGATCAATCTTTGGAAAAGCGACAAGCGACTTTTTCCCATTTATTTTAGTTTTTGCATTTTCCATTCATTGGAATCACAGGCTTGTAGCCAACATCATTTCCTTGTCGGGAATCTGGAGCGAGCGCCCATACATGACAGCATAATAAAGTTGACACAATCTTGAACTCTTTTCTCATATACAATGGTCTGAAAGGTCAGCGCCGACTAGCAAATAAATCTAGAAAAACTACCTATGTGATGCTGTGTGAATATCCTCCACCGAATCTAGTATTAAATATCCAAAACCAAATCATAAAAAGACATCCAAAACCGTGAAACAAAAAACAAAAGAAAGAAGACGCCGCTGTTCCCTCGCCGTGAGACTGTGTATGTGCATTATAAGACTCACAAACGAATGCGTATGCGAGAGACGTAAAGAATGAAGATGATGTCGGTTGTCTATTTCTGTCTTTTTTTCTTCTTTTTTTTTCTCAGCGCCCCGGCGTCGTGTCCGGCACATAACGCTTCTTCCCGCGATACATCTCCCCCAAGCCGGCCTCGTCCATCAGATTCGACATGGTGGTATACGTGGTGTCGCGGTCCCTAGCGTCGTGCCCGTGCCCCTG